CACGTGTCTTCTCTCTGCGGCAGCACACTCATCCTCTCTTTCTCTCCCCTCTGGCACCCACCCACATGGTATTCCGGGTTCACCGCACTTCCGCTTGTCTACGGGTTCCTCAATCGGAGTCGATTGCTTCTTGAGAAAAATGTATGAAGGCACCTGAATAGCTTCTGAATCGTAAGCGATTGAAGATAAAAGGCTTCTCTTGCGAATGAAGTTTCAACCACACACAAAGAAGAGAACCAAAGTTCTTTTTTTTTTTATTATTTTTATTTAATTCCAAATGTGTGTTTTATTTATATTTATTTTAGGAGCAATTTTCAACATAAAATATATTTTTATTATTGACATCTTTTTTTTTAACATATCGAAAAAATTTGAAGAATTACATACATACAATATTTGACGATAACTCTATCGTTTCTCTCTCTCTTCTTTTTTTTTTTTTTTTTCGTGTAACGACTGATGGATGTTGACAATCTGACGTAAGATGCTTGCGCTCTTGCGTCTCCTACTTCTTACATCGTGTTCTTTCATGCCAACGGAGCCAAATCAATCGCCCGTCGCCAGCTTATTCCTCTTTATTAAGTTGATATAGCGCGATAACTATGGCCAAGCAAATAGTTCGCAGTCAAGAGTAGGTAATACCGGGTTGGTAGATATTATTATCGATACGCGATACGTTACGTCGCGAACTGTGTGTGAACAGCGATAAGCTGGATTGCCGTTGAATGCGAGATATGTCCGTAATGCTTTCTAGATATTGATTTATTGTCGTCGCTTTCTTCCGCTGTTTCAGAAAATAATGGATTCTTAACGTTGCCATCGCGTAACACGCGAAGCACAAATTTTTCTATCGGCGCTTTTCTGTGCTTGCAAGTTGACAATGTATCACGTGTTGCAAGTACATTATGTAACATCGCTTTATATCCATTAATTATTTGGCATTGAGAAAATTTGCCGTTAAAAGCAAAACAGTTTTTCTTCAAACATTTATCGACGGATGATTGAAAGCCCTCCAAAGTCGAGGGATTTTCAGTTCATCCTTTTTCTCTTTATACTCAGGAAATGCAGCAAGAAAATTAATTCACGAATAAACGCGTGTTACGCGAGGCAATATTCGCTGATTCGGTGAAATGGATTTCCATGGAAGACGATTTGATTATCGTGCGAGATTCCGGAGATTTCGTCGTGGAGTCGTTGGTGCGCCCCCGAATTTATTCGATGAATACCGAAGGGCGAAGCGTGGTGAGGAAGGGTCTCTCGGCATCGATCCACCAGGTGTTCTATATACTCTAATGCGTAATTGTCGAGGGTCGGCAGTGAATTCGTGTCAATGCGAAATCTCTTTTGTGCTCCTTCTTACTCCGGACGATTCACTGGAACTACACGCTTTGGCCATATGGATGCATCATGGCAACCTTGCGGCCTCTTAATGCGTTAACGATATTCCATAAGGAGATAGCTCTCGCACTACTAAGTGCAAAGATAAATATTGTTGGATTATGGCGACGTGGGAATATTCTCTGAGATTTTACAGACGTATGAATTGCGCAGAAGCCGCCGACACGGGATTGCAAAAAATTAGGACGAATATTAAGAAATTTTGATATACATAACGATAACTGTTTAACTTAATCTAGAATCTAATTGAAAATCTAATTGAAAATTGCACGTGTGTAATAACAGAAAACGCGCACAGAATTCCAGTAGATAAACACATCTCTGCGTTATTATTATTTTACATAAAATCTGCATATTTTAACCAAAAATCTTTTTGACTAATTGACAAAGGTTGTGGAGAACAGTATCATACGGCTGTCTAAAATGTTACGTATATCGCGGTGTCTGTTATCTTTAACATTGCGGGCGAGGATAAAAAATATTCGGTCGTGATAACGCGTATGATAATATGTGTGACGTGTTAAAAATCTCGCGCGGTAGCTTACGCGTTTAATACACGTAAGACGTAGTAGCGGAGCGGAATTTTCGGTGAATAGTGATAAATGTGACTAGTTAAAAGTGCAACGTGGCGAGGAGCGAAACACTGTTTGGAGGAGTGGCCGTGTCGCCCACGATGAGCGTGCTCATTTTCAGCGAACGGCATCGTCGAGAAAAGCTCGCTTTTCCTGGCCGGGGCCAGCCCGGCGCGAGTCACAGACATATTTTTCAAGCCTTCGGATACGTGCGCCAACTACGAACTTTCACGTTTCCCCGAGCGGTGTGTTTCCGCGAATATGCATTTCCTCCTCTCGCACACGCGCGCGGCGAGGGGAGGAGGAGAAAGAGCATAAAACTTTTCCGCTCGTTTACGGACGCTCGGGAGGTTTTCGCGTGCAATTTCTTCACCGTTGCGCCCCGTTCGCGCATATTTTTCCGCACTTTACTCGCGGCGCTTAATGGTCAAATACGCCTTTCGCATTTAAACGCGCGTTACAGGCCGCGAAACCGCGCGAGGTGGAAGACTGTAAAAGCGAGGAGGACGCCTTAAAAACGGATCCGTGTAATTTGATATTCTCCGGATGTTATTAAAGCGACCGTCCGCGGCTCTCTATCTCCCATCAATTTTTCCATCGATTAAAATATTAATGAAAGATATAATTATTCTCCGCGTATATGAAAATGAAAAAATTGGAAATGATTTGATAATTTATGTAACTGTTATGTTTTAATATTAATTTCTCGTCTCGTCTACTTTAATTTCACGTTTTCTTTATATTTGATAAAGAATTGAGACCTAAATTTAAAAGTATGATAAAGTCTAGGAAAGTTTTACGAGAGAAAAGGGAAAGCGGAAAAAGAAATGAAATAACAATTCCCACATATTTTCACTTGATATTGGTAACGTAAAAGTTGACTTTTGTATATACGGCTTTATTCTCGGATTACAAGCTATTAGCGTTCCCGACAGCTCTTCTTTGTTTTACAGACTCGACCTTTATTTAGGTTCAGGTATCGGGTATATCTGGTTCTAAAAAGGACCAAAAGATACGAAAGGCCCTTACAACTATTCAGTCATATTTCCCAGTAATCTGTATTGGGCTATTAAGAAAAAAATTGTTACGGGTAGGTAATTGATGGTACAGTTCAAACATAATCTTTCGATCGCTATATTCTTCCCAAATTTCGTAATTTGTAATGACAGAGTGTGCGTTAGATTTTACAAATTATCAATCGACCCATTTATTATCATGGACATAAAAATTCGGCATGTTGTATGTTTTCTATAGGATATATTTGGTAATTTTATGAGTGGGGGGGGGAGAGAGAGAGAGAGAGAGAGAGAGAGAGAGAGAGAGAGAGAGAGAGAGAGAGAGTAGAGAGTAGAGAGGAGAGAGAGAGAGAGAGAGAATTAATACTTTTTGTGTCCTTTACTTTTGTGGGCAGCAGTTGAAAAAATGAGAAAAGAAAATGACTTGGCCTTTTATTTCTTTTGAAAATACAATTTATACATGAAAATGCAATATATTATACATATGTACAATGTATCATATTTCATGCCAGGATGTATCTTTGCTTTGCACATGTTACATTTGATGCTATTAATTATGCTATTGTCCGTCATAATTTTCCCATTAGCATTATCATATTTTCAATCATTAATTAACAAAATAAATGGTGTAAGAAATTCAGTTAAAAATGAGTCGCGTTTGCTTATGAATTCCTGTTTATATCTTGTCTCTTATCTTTAATATTTAATATAGTAACATTTAATAGTCAATGATGAAAAGATAGAAAAGTCGCATTTAGAACTCATTTATTATTAATATTTCTTTAGAATCGTCATGCGTGGAGGACAACTATGGCTTCTTCGAGACTCCGTAAAGGTTGTAACTAAGCAGACGCGTTTAGCCGCAAATGAGCGGCGCGAATGCAAGCTATTATCTCCCGAGGCTGCGTGCAATTTGAATTTCAAAAATGTTGACGAACCTAGCAGCTAGTAGCTGGTAGCCATGGAAGGGGAAGAGGGGGGGAGGACGCGTCTTTTGGTCGCGAGCCTTTTGCGAGCGTGCGCATCGCCTGGTGGTCTCAAAAGATCGCGCAATTAGTCGCACCGATGAATAGGCAGACCGGTAGGACGATTCTTTTTGAGCCTCTCACGCGTCACGCGTTTTCCTTCCCGTTCCGTATCCCGAGGGCTATTTCTGGCCCCGAACTCGCGCGAAATTCATCGCCCGAATTTCTGGCACGGAGTTTGGTCTGGTCATCGCGAGTTTCACAGTTTTCGGCGAAGACTAATGGATAGACTACGGCGCCGTAAATGCGTAGTTTATCGTTCGACCGCGCCGTATAACACGCGAAATGGACACGCAATGTAACGAGCGTGTGTAACGACCGTGCGTGTCCGCCTCGAAGACGTAAACTTCTCGTCTCTTCGCGCCTGGACTTTCAGGAAAAAGGAGAAGTTTATTTTTTCTTTATTATCGTTATATTTGTACAAGTATATCAAACAGCATATGAAGCGATAATAAACTAATATGATAATAATGATTAAGAAATTAATAATAATGATGAGGGAATGATGTGATGATAAAAAAATTAAATCTCAGATTTTTTCATAGACACTTATTATATATTATAATGATAAAAATGAGAAAGTTAATTCAAAGTTAGTTTATCGCTTCCTTTCGACTTTTGGAATGTTACATGGCTTACAGTTGTGCTTTAATTGAATTTTTCGATCTTGCGTGCACATGACACATTTACAACACGATTTGCAATCGTCATTTATTTATTTCGATATAACGCTACATATACACGGGGATATAATCATCCATGTCGCAATTGTATACTGAATTTAATACTACATGAACCGCAATTGTGACGATATTCCCCTTGAGGAAAGAATCATTTTGACAAATGCGGCTATCACGTCAACCACGCGCTCTGTCGGTGTGACGGTACGGAGCAACGTCACCGGCAGAATTGTGACTGTGGTGGTACAGCAGCGTGACAGTAGTAGCAGTAATAGCAGTAGTAGTAGTAGTAGTAGCAGTAGTAGTAGTAGTAGTATTGTGGAGTGGTGGTAACGGCGATGGCAGCATCGGGCGCGATGGAAGGGGCAGACATCGGCTCAGTGAACGCCAAACGCTCAAGCCGTTACGACGCGGCGTGCGAGACACAGTCCGAGTGACGCGACGCCGAAACACTCTCGTAAAGCCGCGAGACGATAAATGATAACGAGAAGCCGTAGCTCTACGCGATCTCGCGTACGGTGACGACGGTTACGCCGGAGCGTGAGTGTGGGTCGTGCTCATTCGCAAAATCCTTCGGCGACCGTTCGGGCATCCTCGGCGACGCGGCCGAGCGGCGAGAGTGTTTAATGTGTGTACGATATATATATATATATGTGTGTGTGTGTGTGTGTGTGCGTGCGTGACCGCACGTAGCCCGATGTATACAGTTTGGTGTGAGTGTGTGTATCTGTAATACGTGTGCCGGAGGAATATCCGTGTCGTCGTCGTCGTCGTCATTGTGTGTCTTGTATCCGTCCGTTTTTTTTCTTACGCGCGAATGGAGTGAACGAGTGTGTCTGTTCCTTCCTTCCTTCGCCGGCCAATGTGGATACGTAAATAATAAAGTGCGCTCGCGGCTTTTGCCGCCTTCGGTCGACTCCTCCCCCCCCTCCCCCTCTACTCTTTCACTACGTGCCTCTTCGTCGCTCCTATCCGGTACGCGCCGGCAGGAGGGACACGTCGGATTACCACATCGCCGTGGGACAAAGGATACGCACACATACACGCGCTCGCGCGCACACACGCGCATCACTCCAGGCGTGTGTATGTACGTGCAGACGGCATTGGGACTTACAACGGTGGCGGCTCGGTGCCCCCGCAGGATTATTTATCGACCTGCACAAGGTATTGCGAGTACGACTTTTGTGTGCCGACGACGGCTCTTTCGTTATGCCGCGACACCCGTTAGTGTCGTTAG